AGAAATATAGGTTACCCAAAGGAAGAAAACACTCCCATAAAATGCTAAGACAGACTTGCTTGCATACCATTGTGTGATAGTCATCATCTCAATCCTCTCTGCAATTATAGTAACATTTTGCTTTACAAAACTGCTGCAATTAGCATATTTAAACATGGTTGTTTCCAAGTATGCTGTTTAGCTCAAATTTATCAGCATATTCATTGCATAAAATTTCATCTTAATATACCATGAAGGTCAAGCTATTAGCAAGACATACATAAACTCCCAAAAGCATGCCTGAAGCATAGTGGAAAATTCATGACACTTAAGTGACTTGGCTATAATTCCTTTTCATCTCAACAGCCTTTAAAACTCTCCACATGAAAACAGCAATAACCTTATGACAGTTGCAGGGCAGTGTGTTCTCTGAACATTTACTCACTTGACATTTTTTAACCTAAGGGTAATGTACAATGTCAGCATATTTGAAGAAGTTAAAGGCAAAAACAGACTTCAAAACTATAATAATTTTTCATAAGAGCCTTACAATATTTTCAAAAATAGACAACTATGTAGATGCACTAAATTTGCATATGCACAATATTTGTTGTAGAGAGCCTGCATTTTTGAACAGAAAAGAAAATCCATTTTAGTTTGTATGTTCTTTTTTATGCCCTACAATATTATTTCTTACACATATTTGTTCAGCTGCCTTTCTGAAATTGTTTCTCTGCAGTCTGCATGAGGCTAGGAACTTTATACATTGATTTACCTAAGAGGAAAGATACCAGCAGGTTTATTTTCACAATCTGGATTTCAATAGCAAGATAGGAAAATAAAGCATTTCACCACAAGTGATCCCTGTGTTTTAATTTTTACAATGTAAATGAACCAAAAAAAACCCCTAAACACTTTTATATACCTTTGTATATACACTCTTCTTCTTCTCCTACAAATACCACCATTAAGGATCTGGTTGCATTCAGATTTAAGCCGCTCTTGGTTTAGGTTCATGTCATGGATGTAAATTGCCTTCTCAATGCCTTTAGCATTGGATTCAATAAGAAACTTTTGACGTATTTTATTATGTTCTATTTATGGCCCTAATCTTGATCTCCCAGGGATCTCCATATTTTATTTTTACTTTACATTTAATTCAAATTCATCTCACATGTTTTTCTGAATACTTTGTGCACATTTTTCTAGCTTACTGATCCATCAGCTATGCAAAATTCCACATCATCAGTAGAAGTAATGGAGTAAGAAAGTGTCTGTTGCCTAATGATAGATGCAACCTCATACAAAAGCAGATGAAATAACATTTAGCAGAGTTTAATAAAGAAAGGTGGGGGAGGTTACAGCTGCACAAGTCAGTGTTAAGAATGACAGTAGTCAGTGCTAAGGGAGTAGAAAACAGGCAGTTGATGTCAATATTCAACCATCTAAAATAATTAAGATACATGCTCATGATCTGCTCTGTTACAAGTATCATAGAATCATAGAGTCATTCAGGTTGGAAAATCATTGAATCCAACCATTAAACTGACACTGACAAGTCCATCAAATTCTAACACCTTTTTCCTTGCAACTTAGAGAGTATTAACATGCCTTCTAAGGGGAACAGGCTGGCACTGCAGGAATTTTTTGCTCTCGTTGAACCACTTTTAAGCTAAGTTTAGGCATCTAGGCATGCGTTACACCATGACCTAAACATTAATGAGTAAATGGTTTCAGTTTTGAACCATGTCCTCTACTGTGGTGGCTTTAGTATATTCTTTGATATAATGTGTTTTCTACTGTGAATTTTGCCACAGTCAGTGTGGCTGGTAAGAAGGAAGATCTGTGCGGTCCACCTCCGTAGAGCTGCACTTTGACAAAATAAATGTAGTGAACAGGGAACGTGGTAGATCAGACAGTTTCATTGTATCATCCACCTGCAGAAATTATTACCTCCTGTCCTGTCATTTGTATAGAAGGGTTTACATTCTTGACTACCTACCTACAGGGATCAAGAAAATAAAATTTGATGTAATAACTTCCAAAGCTAGAAATAATCAGTTGGAAGATTTCATTCATCCTAAAGCAAAAAAAGAAACCAAAACTCAACCATTTCAGCTTAGGTCTTTGTCTGTGCTCTACTTCCAGGAATGCAAGGAAACATGCTTTAGTTCAGTGTAATCAAACAAAAAAAATCTGACTTCAATTATGATTTGTATTCCTAGACAGTGGTCATGAAATCCCTAAATGTCCTTGAGTTTATAATGACCTAAGTCAGACTGTAAGTCATTTTATTTTACACATTTATATATATTTCTAAGTGTCTCTGTTCTTTGTTGCTTCATGTAGAGAGTTTGTGGACCTAGCTTGATATTTCTTACCTTTTTAATAGAGATGGTTATTTGCTTAAGGACAACAAGTTCTTCAGTGCTGGAATTAATGAATGATATTTACGTAGTGCATATCAACTCATAGGGGATTTTGAAAGAAGAAAAATCATTAACTTAGCTGGCTTTCTTGTAATGACTAATATCTTTGACAATATATAATTCTGATAGATGGTGATTGTCTTTAATTTTTCTAAATAACAAATTCATAAAATAGTTTCTAGATTATAGCAGCAGTCTACATTTACCTTTAGTATACACATCCTATTTTTCTATTTTGCACCTTATTAAGAATGGAAGCAAAGGACAGTAGAGGGTTTCTTCTCCAGTGAAGTAGTACTTTGTATAAAAGGATTTTATTATTATTTTGGTTGGGGAATATATTAGGAGACTTACAAGTCAAAATGAGAAAATGCCTTACCAAGAACTGAAAGTGATTGTAAATTCTAACTTCACGTGAATCATGAGCTCAGATGATTTGCCCAGTAAAAGTGAGCCTGATTAGCTTTCCCTCTCAGCCACATGTCAAGTGTGTGTGTCCACGTGTGTCTGCTCAGTGGAAGTCAAATTGCAATTTTTTGTGGGAATGTTAAACCTTTCAGGATGCAGTGCTCTCCAACAACAAGATCGATTGGAAGTCTTATTTCTACCACCAGCCTCTATGACTTCATATAAAACTCCAGAATTCTGATAAACTGTCATGGGGAAAAATGATAAAGTGATTTATACTCAATTTCGCTGGAAGGGAGAAATGCAGAGGCTGTCAGTCTGGGTCTTCAGAACAAATGAGTTACAGTTCATGAGGCAGCTCAATAAGGCTATCATTTCCCATCAACTCCTATCAGTGACAGCCACAGATTTACTGGATGGGGAAAGGGAAAATGGCTGAGTTTTGGTGCCATGTGAGTCTACACTATTACTCTGTCAACCAGACTTGTGTAGACAAGAGACTACCATGAATATTTGATAGAAACTTCTTCCCATAAGTGCCTATAGAAAGTAGTAAAGCTGTTCTTTCATTTGTATAAAAAAAGCTCTCTGCCTCTCTATTTGGATCCAGTTGAAAATGTCCATTTGTAAACTGCTGAGGTTTCTCTGATTTATTTTGTGAGTGTGCATTTGTTTCATTCAGCCGTCTGTTCTGTGCCACGTGGCTTATTTATAGCCTTGCAGAATGAAACAAAAGAATCCTCAATCTGCTGGGATTTCATATACAATACATTTGTCACTATGTGTCTCATAAAATTGCAATACAAACACAGCCTCAGAGCCACCTGTGCATACCCAGAGGAAAGAGGACCTTCATCTGCCACAATTACAAATTTTTAGAAACATCTATGTTCCAGGCAGAAAAAGATTCAGGTCAAAGCTGAAGAACTTACTCTGTATGTGTTCATATTAAAATAGATCAACATAAATTACTTCTATGTTATCCCGTGTTTCTGTTGCACAGAATTTTCTTAACAGTTGTTGGTGTCTGTTCAAAAAGCTCCTATGGATGCTACCTGCATTTTTTTTGAGGATGGTTGCACAGCTGGATTTCCTAACAGACATCCAGATTTGTTCCACTGATACTGTCTTGGTTTGAGATAGCCCCAAAATCCAATTCCCTAGCTCCATCCCCCCTCCCACATCTCAACTTATGTGAGATGGGTTTTTCCAGACAAAACACAACCAGACTCAGAATGGGGGAAAGGGAATATATTACAATGACTGTACAAATAAATACTATAACACATTATACACACGATCACAACTATCTCTACCATGACATATAGTATTTACAATGGATCAGATCTCTTCTCCCCTCCAAATAAAAGTCCAGGAGGGAAAGAAGGACAGATCCTTTCCAGTCTCTCAGGGCAGCAGCTTCTTTTAAGGCAGCAGGTTCTCCTCATCTCATGCATGCAGCAGTAACTGGATTGTTGTAGCTGGATCTCTGTTCAATACACACAAGGGGGTCTCCAACCCCCTTGGCCCGTCGTCTCCAAAACGAGGGTCTTTTCTCTTCCGTGGACTGCGTAGCAGGGACAAGCTCGCCTCACCACGTCATACCACGAAGCTCAGGGGTCTTCGTGGCAGTCCCTTTCCTCAGGGGATTCAAATTCCCCTTTGCAGAGCTCTGTGCTCTGTCTCAAGGCTGCTAGCTTAGCAGCAGCAGCGAGGGGGGCCAAGGTCAACCCCCCCGCATTCCTTCTCCGTCCCGGTCCAGCTTCCCAGGATGCTCTGAGCTTCTCAACTCCTCTCTGCAAGTGCTGTAGCACTCCAAGGCTCTTTCAAGCAAGAGTCCATCATCTTCCTCCTTCCAGGAGGTCTCAAGGAGTTTGGGGGGTTTGGTACAGTTCCTACCCCCAGAACTCTGAAGTTCTGCTGCGGGCTCTCTCTTCTGCTGCTTCCTCCGGTTCAGTTCTTATCTGTCCTGGCTCTTATCCAGAGTCTCTGGACACTGCCGCCGCTTCTGCTCTGTCTCTGTAGCCCCCAACTGGGGCTGGGGGGGGGCAGAGGCCCCGAGGGGCTCCGGTCCCCTTTCCTCGTGGCTGTTACATCATGGCTACTTCTTCTAACAACCAAACTACAACCCCTTCTCTTCCGGTGCTTGTGATATGTTTACATTTCTGTAGGAGCGTTCATTGGGCAGAACTTCAAAACTTCCAGGGGTTTCCACCCCTGGGGGTTACCACTTTTCAGCCTCTGGGGGAAAACAAGGTTCAAACCACTACAACACTCCACCCCTCGCTCCTGCGAAATGTCAACATATCACAACAACTGAAAAACTCTAATCAACATGCAATCTCTATAAATCAGAATATAATCAAAATATCTCTACTACATATCAATACAGCATTATCAAAAAAACTTAACTGTACTCTTAGTACTTAACTTACATTACTATAGCCTTACTCTCTCTACAATGGTACAGTCTATGTTTTGTCTGGAAAACTCTTTCTGTTACCACAAGTATCATGGCTCTTATCTCTTTCCCTCGATGGTTCGCAACCATCCTCTGCTACCATTTATGTCAGATGCTAAAACATTTAGCTTTTTCCAATCTTAATTATCACTAATGGATTTGGTCCCTAGGTGTCAGCATTAAACATTCTCTTAGGTTGGACTGTTTTGCTACATCAGTGGGATTATAGAATCACAGAATTGTAGAATATCCTGAGTTGGAAAGGACCCACAAGGATGATCGAATCCAACTCTTTGCTCTGCACAGGACCATCCCCGAGAATCACACCATGTGCCTGACACCATTGTCCAAATGCTTCTTGAACTCTGGTAGGCTTGGTGCTGTCACCCTGGAGAGCCTGTTCCAGTGCTAAACCATCCTCTGGGTGAAAAACTTTTTCCTGATATCCAACCTAAATCTCCTCTGACTCAGTTTCATGCCATTTCCTCAAGTCCTGTCACTGGTCACAAGAGTGAAGAGATTGCTTGCCTCTCCTCTTCCCCTCACAAGGAAGTTTCAGACTGCAATGAGGTCTCCCCTCAGTCTCCTCTTCTCTAGGCTGAACAGACCAAGTGACCTCAGCCACTCCTCATACGGTTTCCTCTCCAGACCCTTCACCATCCTTTGACCCTCCTTTGGATGCTCTCTAATAGCTTAATGTCTTTTTTATATTGTGGTTCCTAAAACTTGCAAGTGTTATTACCAGACTGCTTTTTAAGACAGAGAGATAGACTCACAAAAGAGAATCTAATATAGCAGTTAGAAACAAGGCTGTGATGTTCTCACTCACACTATGTCTCATATTCCTAATTCTATGTGCAAGTCTGTGTTGTGAATCAAACACCACTATAACTGTATCAGACATCAGAACTATATCTCCAACACACAATAATCTCAGAAATGAGATAGTTTCCAAGCCTTTGCCCATGTCCATAGCTTAGGTAAAATATTTTTAAAATACCTATTCAGTTACAGCTCCATCATACACCCACTGAGAATAAAGAGTTGAAGACTTCACATTAAAAAAAAAATTAAATAATTATCAAATATATCTTTTATTTAAAAAAAAAGGAAAACCAAAACAAAATGCCAATCAAACAAAAATCCATGCCACGAAATTTCATTTATATACTTCCTTAGAATCTTCTAGGCCTTCTATTCAAACGAATCTTTTCTCCTAGATCTGCAGTTCTTTTCTTAGATAATAAATAAATATATAAATAAAACCACCAGGACAATCTTGGTCTATCTCTATTAGTGACTGTGTTCCTGAGTTTCCACAGAAAACGTAATTTATTATTTTCATTGAAGAATCTAAGAAGACCAGGGTTATCCAGGCATTAAAGTTAAGATTAATCTAATGCCAGAACTAATAATGATGTCAGATTTGATTTAGTGGGTTTTTTCTTACTATGAAGATTTAGAATAACATTAAACCTTTCTACATTTATGTAAAAGTACAGCTAACACATATATTGCTAATGTTAGAAGATGATTTATTACCTGAGTTTTTAAACCAGTGCTGTTTTATTTTGCCTAGTGTGTTTTCCCATGTACTCGAACCTTTCCTATCATTGCTAATAAGTACCATTTCTTTTTTCAAATACTGCTCTGCTTTTATTTGCTTTAATGATTGAAAGCTGTATACCAACTCTTATCTTTAATCTTTTTCCCTTAAGCTTCGAGAATCTCAGTAAATACACTTTCTAAAATAGAAAAAATTCAAAGTCAGATCAGATTAACAGGTTTGTCATTTCATGGACCATATTTCATCTAGGAATAATAAATACAAAGAAATATTTTCTCATTTACATTTCTCTCTCCTGGAGCTGGAGATGCAGAGGACTGAAAACTGAAGAGTGTCATAAATGGATCAGGTTCTGTGTAGACAGAATAAAGAAAGTACAGGACAATTACAGTCATAGAATCCTCATGTTTCATATCAGTCATCTGTGGTGTTAAACTTTGAGAGAACATAGTGAAATGCACATTAATCTAGTCTTGAGAAATTCTAACATAAATATCACCATATATTTTCCCACTCCTTTTGTTTCTTCATTTAGCTGAACACAGGAGATTGTGGTCTTATGGCAGAGCATCAAAATTCTCTATGCAGCAGCAGGAACTCACAGGAATGCATCACTTCAGTCTCTGTCTTCTTTGTGTTCACATAACTGACCATAAAAAGGGATAGCAAGCTAGGATACCAGAGCTCCATGATCGTTATCTCAGTGCAACAGTTCCCTGCTCTCCCTAGTGACTGAAAAACTGAGCGTGAACTGGAAGAACTGATATTTTTTCAGAATATCAGATGATTTTTCACAGTGTAGAACATCTTATGTCTCTTTGTTTATATATTATGTCAGAAAGGTAAGGCAAGAAAATGGAGAAGGGGATGAGGAAAGAAGCATTTTCAGCACTGGAAAAAGCAGGAGGAAAGAAGAGGAAGTGTAACAGGTGAAATGGAAGGGGAAGTGGAAAGGGAGAAATGGAACGGGAAATGGAAAGAGCAAACCATACATGTCAGGTTTCTCAACTAGCAGACGGTTCTGGAAGAATCTTTAACTCTCACTTGAGTTGCAGTTATTGTTCAGGAGTGATTTCTCTTTGAATTTCATTCCAATTTGAAATTGATTTTTCTTTCTCATAGCCTCAGCTATGAAGCATGAACTACAAATCATAGATTTCTGAAGTCCTACAGAATTTGATGTGGCACAAAATTTCTCATTTGAGTCAAGATCTTGTCTAATTTTATCCTGTTTTCCACTTCCCTAAAGAGGTATCCATCTTGACTGAAAGTGCTAGAAAAGTATTTTCCCATCTTGCCTAATACTGATTATCAGACGAATCTGTCTGATAGTTCTTGTATGTTCTGAATAAATATTTGAATTTGAAAATTGTTCTGAAACATTCTTCAGAAAGCTCTGATGGCAACTGTTACACCTTTAGGTTGTCATATTTCCTAAATGAACTGTATCCTATTTTAGATTCTGGTTTCAAACAAAGTTCTGCAATGCAAGACCAAATGAATTTTCAGTTTCAGTCCGTAATTCACATTTGAAAGATATTTGTATCATAGAACCAATATGAAAGCTGGCAAGACTAACAGAAGAAAACCAGAACAGTTAGAATAAATGTATAGCTGCCTGAGTGCCTTCCCATGATTTCTGGCACTGGTTCTTGTATTTTTTTTAACATCCTGTTGTATGAGAGTCTTATTTTCCTCTGATTTACACTCCCAAGGACAAAAAAAACCCTCAAATATGTGGAGTTTTAACCAAAGTCTATGGAGAACCAAAGGATTTGAAGTACTTGCAGCAGTCCTTTTGTACAAATATTACACATTCTTCCACAGAAAGAAGAAAGGATCTTGTGAATCCCTCATCTACAGTATTACTGGTGAATATGTTCATGATTATATGACTATCTCCATTTTATTTTATAGTAAAATTTTAGGAGCTGTTATGGGTAGAGAGTCTGTTAAAAAAAGATAAGAACTTACTAGAAGTTATTAATGGATTAATTATTTAAATTCTGCCATAAAAATGGTCTTGTAAGAATGCAGCTGCTGAGCCATTTTCAAACTATATACAGTAGTACAGATAATGACAGGTGAAACTGTCTGTTCACCAAATTGCATCACTCCACTTTTCTCACAGAGATTAACATGAAAGCTAGTTCTTTACAGGGTGAGAAAGTGTATATCTTGCTCAGAGATCAAATAATTTACTTTCTAGTAGTTGAATTGCTCCTCAGATTTCTTTATTATATTCTCTGTTTTCCAGTAATAGAGTGCTGTTTCTCTACAGAAATTCAAGTGTAACATGTCAACTTCTCCATTTCTTGAAATAAAATCATAATAGGTAGTATATAAAAAAGAAAAACGGAACCAATTCATGGTCCAACTAGATGAGAACCACAGTAGGCATGATGTTGCTTTATTTATTTGAGCCTTAATATTCTGGATTTTCTGGTTCTGTTCAAGAATTAGAATAGAATCAACAGTGATTCACAGACTGAACTGTGAATAAAGTTAATTGAGGAAGTCCTAAAAGCATACTATCACTGGTACCAGCAGAAGCCTTGAATGTTAACTATCTAACATAGCCTATTCTGTTAACTGAGAATGAGCCTGAGAAATTTCTTTTTTTAATCCATAATAAAAAAATTAAATTGTGTCAGAATTAGCAACCGATAAACATTAAAGGCAAAGACACATCTTGACGTAGATGATTTTTGTAAGGGTTCTGTCATGCTTATGGCAGAGAAAATTCCAGAGAAAGGATAGCTTTTGTTCTTTTTACTATCACCAGATAAATTACACAGGACTACATTTATTGAATTTATATTATAAGAAATCTATTTATACATGTGCACCACTCCTGAGACACAGTTCTGCCAAAAACTAGAAGGGTGCAAAGCATTATGAAATATCTGTCTGTGAGGAGTAATTAACTGAACATTGCAATGCCATACACACTGCAAAGCCTAATGAATAAGAGTCTGGGCCCAAAGTGGAGTCCATATCCCTCAGCTACATTTACTGTTTAGGCTAACATATTTCTGGAGATAAAATAAAAGATGATGATGATCACCAGGAGGCAAGGGGCAATTTGAACCGTGTATTTCTTTTATCTAGTTTCAGAGATTCAGATACAACAGATGCAGATGTAACAGTATTGCCGCCATCCCCACCTGTCTCCAGACTTGTAGCCCACAACACCCTGTCTCCACTGCTCCACACTGGTTGCAAGGGCAGCCAACCACTCCTATATGTAAAAATCTTGGTCCTTAACCTCTCTGTTTTCTGAAGCCCAAAATACCCCCCAGCACTCCTCTCCCCATGCTCATCTACCAGTCTCTGACTTTTATAGCCCTTGTCCTCCTATCTATTCGGTATACCCAAATTACCCAGGCATTCTCCTCTTCAGCCTCAGTTCCCTGCTGTGTAAATCCAAGCACTTCAACATAGGTAATAGAATCACAGAATCATAGAATCAACTTGGAAAAGACCTCTGAGATCATCAAGTCCAACCCTTAATTCAACACTGCCTTGGTTACTAGACCATGGCGCTAAGGTCCTAGCAAGTGTTACTCTTCAGTCATACCCCATGTCTGCCTCAGGACTAACTCCTGGCTACATTTCTGCTGTTCATCAACTCTGTTGATGCATTCCAGGTAGCTGCTGGAATTGGTTCATCCTCCCCATTGCATGACTCCACCATGTCTTCTGCTTTCTTGTCCACAAGAACTTGAGCTCAGTCAAACATTTGGGCTGACTCAATGCACATTGATAGACTGCATGGGGAAAAGAGATTAAATATCTGGCAGTCCTATGCAATTCCTGTCAGAAGGTTTTTCAGATCATGACTCAGACACCACTAAGGGGGGAGGAGCGAGGAGGGTTACTACTGTAATATCAATTATGAAGTGGATGGAAGGCAAATCATTACAAATGTCATCTGCTGATGTAAAGCATAGGCCACCCTGGGCAGTTCTCACTGGGTCAGGGACAGAGCCAGTCCACAAGAACATTGACTCTTCATTTTGCGCAGTAGTACTGGGGCTACAGGGAGATGTGGCAGTCACCTGCCAATGGGGAATATTTCAGATTTTCCCTCTGTCCTGGGAAAGTCAACCCTAAACCTCCAGCCACACTAGAAAATGATTTGGCAGCCATATTCTCTTTAGAGATAGTAATACTCTTTATCCTTCAAGGACAACCTGTTATATGCCATAGAATTCAAGATCGTTTAGACTTGAGAGTGAAAGTATGGCCCTATAATTCAGGACATGGGGACCAAAAGTGTCAGATGCCCACAGGGATCTGAGGAGCTTTGTCTCCCTCCTTATCTTCAGAAGTCTCAGTAGAAACAGGCTGTTTTGTATGAAATACCTTGATTTCTTCAAATTGATGTTTACCAATGGCTAACATTTCATTTGGTGAATTTGCATCCAGTTCCCCTTCTCTGCAAGATGTTGAGAAAAATCTGACAAGAGACCAAATTCATGTCAGATTTCTTCTGTAAATGGAAATCTCTCACTTCTGTTGGCAACAAGAACTAATGATTTGATTGTCATATAGAATTTGCAACAATCTGGTTCCAACAAGCTGGAAAAATCACTGACATGCGAGACTTCTTCATCTGCCTAAACATACAGATGTATTCAGAAATCGTTGAGGCACATTAATTCCACTATTTTGCTTTGTCTAAAATATGCATTTAAAAATAAAGAGTGTCTCCCTTTTTCCACAAAATGACAGTCACCAAATCTTTTAATTCTTTACTGACTTGTTGATATTTATTATGTCTTTAACCCTAATCAAACTACTCTTTTTGAGAATCATTTTTAGGTTACCTTAACCAATTTGATTTCAACAGTACTGTGGTGCCTTTGCACATGCTTGGCCATAATAATATATACTATCAAGTCTGTTGAAGATCTTACCTGAAACACTCATAACTGTTCTTGCTTGTAGCTCTTAACTGTTTAAAAAAAAGCTCTTTTGGTCTTTTTTCAATGGGATCATGGGTTCTTTAGCAGTTTTACCTATTTTTTCTTAGAAATCTTGCTATACATATTATATATTACCAGAGCTGTGAAGGGCACAGATTTTCAGTGCTTTCAAAAATACTACATTATTAATAAGATTTTTTTTACTGGAAATAGAATAAGAACACTAAAAAGCTTTCTTTTTTTTTCAATTGAACATTTTTCTTACTGTTTCAATTTTTAAATTTTGTATTAATAATTTACAGTACAAAACATCAGCTATATTTCAAAACAACTAAAAATAAAAATATTTTTATTTGTGTCTAAAGCAAGCTTCCCTAAGTCTACCAATGGAACATTTTTTATCATAGTTTAAAAATCTTAGTATTTTTTTAATTGCCTTTGCATATTTCTGGCTGTGTTATGGTATTTTGTGAAATTCCTCCACCTAACTCTGAGCTTTTAATGATCCCTTTATATTCTGGTTAGACTTTATTATCCTACACTGTAAAGAAATGAGTAAGGTACTCCTACTTCCACTGAGTTAGTTCTGCGCACTTTCCACTGATTTTTAACAGCTGTCTTTGCAGCAGATGATTTGGGTTTTTATACTAAACCTATGCAGTTTCTTTGTGATATGTCTTTCGCTTTTGTGTTTGTATTTTCATAGTGGGTTTACTATGCTTTAATACCTTTACTAGTTTTTCTTTCTTTAGCTTTGCTTTTCTGTCTTGAATGATCATACTTCAAAAAAATTGTACATATCCCTTATTGTAATTCATTCATTTTCTTTATGATTATTATTCTAGACATTTCACTTATTAAATTCATGACACTTTCCTCATTAAAGGATAAAACTTGACTACTAATAATTGACAAGGCAATTAATGCAGTGCTTTTTGGGAAGATAAACTGTGCTTGTTTAACATGCTTGGTGTGTAGCAGTTGGAATTTTATTTGTCTGATTACATTGGTAGTAGAAAAAAATCAGTATTAAATCTTCAGTGTAATGTCAGATTTTACTTATTTTTTTAATGATCTGTATCTTGCTCTTTCCCTTATATAAGAAAAGAAAAAAACCACAATGAAGTGCATGTTATTGAACTGTGCTTAATCTTGAGGGTTTAGGCTTTTTCCTATTAGTGAGATTTAACCTATCAACGTAGGTGGCCTAGTTGCTCAGCATACTGTTCTCTGACTCACATAGCAGGTGATTGAGTGAAATGTTATGAATTTTCATCCCAATATTATCAACCTATTTCAACAGTGGTATAAAATGGGTTTGTTTACTCAGAGGAGCCCCAAAGTTATTTTTTTCCCACATAAGAATCAAAAAAAAGCTCAAACAAAGCTTGTCCTTTTTTATTTTCTTGCTCCGCATGACTTTCTTCTCAGTGCAATGGAAAAATTAATTTTGCTCCATTCTTTAAGAGAGAAATTAATTTTGTTTTCTTAGTTGGAAATGAAGACCTCCATGAATGCCCAAGCTTATATGAGGCTGTGAATCTTGCTCTGAGAAACTTATTGCCCTCTTTTGATTTGACTTCAGGGAAAGACATCGGATTTCCAATATTTACTTCAGTGCCCTCAAAATCAGAATCTGGATCATCTTGTTTTTGAGAATTGGATGACTTCAACTCATAGAATCACAGAATCACAGAATAGGTCAGGTTGGAAAGGGACTCTGGAAATCATGTAGTCCAGACATCCCACACACCACACTTGCCCTCCCCATTCAGACACAATCAGCTGTAGCAGGATGCCCAGGACTATATCTGACTTTTGAGTATCCAGTAGTGGAGATTCTTAAGCCTCTCTGGGGAACGCATCAGCTTTTGACCACCCTCCTCAGGATAAAAAAGTGTTTCTTATGTTCAGATAGTATTTCATGCACTTTGATTCATGTCCATTGCCTCTTCTTCTTTCATTTGAAAAGAGAAAGAGTCTGGGTCTCATCTTCATTGCTTTCCATCAGGTAAATTCCTTTCCTTGCTTGGTCAATGAGAAGACTCTTCCTCCTCCATCACCTCTTAGGACTGCTGTGGAGAAGATGGGTCTCCACAAAGGCCTAAGCTCATCTGGTACTCTGAATCAGACTTTAGACAATGCTTAATGCATTGTGGGTAACTAAGAAGCACCACTTTCATAACGAAGGCAATGCCTTTTAGAAAGAAATTGGAAAGAAAAAAATAACCTGTGAATCATTTTATCTGAAATTTAAACAGGTTATAAATATTCTTAGTGTGTCATTGTTCTGTAGCTCAGAAATTATAAACATTAGTAGAAAGCAAATTTAAAGAAACTGTGATAGCATCTGCTTGTACTTGACTCATTTAAAGCCACCAGTACTGAGTTCCTGTTCTTTAAATTTAGTTTCAAATCACAAACTCAAAAACATGCCCTGAGCTTCAGAGACTGGAATTTCTCTTAAAAGTAGGTCACAGAAAAAGGGATCTGAATCATTAAGTAATGCTATCCATAACAGAAGAGAAAAACCAGAGTCTTATTATGTACTGCTGCAGACTTCTAAAAGCTGAAACCTGAAGCTGAATTTTAGTTAACTGAAAGTACCTTTTGAATTTGGAGTAAACAAAAAAAAAACAATTGACAGCACAAATATATGGATCTATGATAGACTCATCTCTCAATCCCAATCATATTCTGCACACATAGAGTTCTGGGACTTTCACACAAATATTAAGGGTGTATTCATTTCAAAAGCTAAATAGAAATGTATTTTGTGTCACTGAGTCCAACACTTCAAATGCTGAATGTTCTGATGCATGTTTAGGATAAAGCATTCTATCAGAAAATATTCATCTGGGTGGTGAAATCAACTGCAAGAAACATTAGTACAGATAGAACATGGGGTTTGTGATGCAAAATGCTTTGGAGAAAACATTAGAGGTTTGTTAACAGAAATAAGAAGGGAATGGGGAATGCATACTTGGATGAAGACATAATTGTTCAAAGACATTAAAAGTTATTTTTGTAGGCCAGATTGTTAGACAAAATAAAAATATTTATGCTATTTATTTGGCAATTTGCTAATTTTCAGTCTTTTGAAAAAAAGTAAAGTTATTTAAAGAAAAGTGTTTTTTTTAATTTAATCTACTTTTAGGAAAATCACTGTGCTACTTAAATGGCCTTGTGTTGTTTGAGATCTTCAGGTGTCTATGTTTCAAATTGCTTAAGGTTTGGAAATCTACCGCTTAGGAGCACAGTGTAGGAGTTCATAGTGATGCATGAAAAATAGATGCAGCCCAGCTGTGATGTAATACAGAAGGCCTCTAAAATACATGTCAGCAAAACTGAAAGTGAAAAAAACATTTAAAATCATGATACCCCTCAGTGTGCCCTCAATTTTCCTGTGTAGTAGTTTTATTTGGATTTTCCATGTTCCCTGTACATATGTATATTCATTGAAATAAGATCCTGTCAAAGTAAAACACTTATGTTTAGAGTTTTCCATA